GAAGATTATCGATTAACAACAATGTTATGGAAATCGTGTTGCCATCGATTAGATTAGAAAACACCGAGATGATCGATTTAATTATACAACAACCCAAAACAACACAGAGATGCAAAAACCACAAAAGTTAAAGTTTCATGTTAATACAAAACAACACATTTTTCCATAGAATTTTAATAGCTAACAACTGTTGCAAAACCGCATAACTGATTTATAATATTCTGAACGAAATATATGTACATATATTCGAAACTACTTATAAATCTCTCAGCGGAGCAAATAGAGGGGGGAAATTAACATAAAAATGTTAAACAATTTCCGAATATATGTGGTGTTTGATGTTACCAGCGATTTTTTCGATCCATTGAAAATTAATTCAAACATTAAGTGATGAGGGTTCCGATAAGCATCATTTACTGAAAAGGCAGCTCTTTTGATGTCAATGCTGAATAGTTAATGTGGCCCAGTGAATTATCTGCGACATAACTAGATTAAATATAATTAATATGGTTTGCTGAAACTACATGAGATCAATTTGAAGCCATGTTTTGAATGATAAATGGCTGCCTAGCTTCTCCCGCATATTTCGGAAAGCTTTTTCCTATTCTCATTAAAGTTGGAATTATTCTGAACGGCAAATGTTGCCAGCCTCCACAATTTAATCACAATTTAAGTGAATTTTTATACCCTCCACCATAGTATGGAAGGTATATTAAGTTTGTCATTACATTTGTAACACCTCGAAATATACATTTTAGACCCCACAAAGTATATATATTCTTGATCGGCACAACAGCCTATGACAGAAAAAGTTCAGTTCCACGTCTTCGTATGGCCCCCATATAACGGTACCTCCATATTTTCGCTGCTTTGGTGATTTTTGCGACATTTTTCACCGGAAATGTTTCAAATTTGGTCGTTGGAGTTCTTAATTGATTTTAAAGCCTATGACCGACGTCTTCGTATGGCCCCCGATATTCGGTATTTTGATTATTTTAGCGTCATTATTCACCGCAAATGTTTCAAATTTGATATTTAAAATTCGTAACGGAAACTACAGCCTATGACAGAAAATTGTTTGTGCAGCTCCACGTCTTCGTATGGCCCCCATATAACGGTACCTACCGATATTCGATATTTTGATAATTTTAGCGACATTATTCACCTGAATTGTTCCAAGTTTTGTATTTGAAGTTCGTAATGGATACTACAGCCTATGACAAATAATTTTCTGTAAAGGTCCACGTCTTTGTATAGCCATATAAGGGTACCTCCCGATATTCGGCAAATTAATGATTTTAGCGACATTATTCACCGGAATTGTCGGAATTTGGTATTTGAAATTCGCAGTGAATACTACAGCCTACGACAGAAAATTGTCTGTGCTGGTCCACGTCTTCGTTTGTTGATTGTTGATTTTAGCGACATTATTCTCCGGAATTGTTTCAAATATGGTATTTAAAATTCCTAATAGATACTACAGCGTATGCCAGAAAATTGTCTATGCAGGTCCACGTCTTCGTATAGCCACCACTGTGCATCCCGATATTCGGTATGTTGATGATTTTAGCTACATAATTCACCGATTTTTTTGAAGTTTCGTATTTCAATATTTTAATGGTTTATGACAAAAGTTACCTATGCAGGTCCATGTCGTCGTATAGATTTTAATATAACAGCAACATTCGGTATTTTTAAAACTTTAACAGAATTTTAAACGGATTTTATTTTTTGTTCCAAATGGTGCAGGATATTCAAAATTCGGCCCGCCAAACTTTCTACTTTTTTACTTGTTATTTTTTCAATAGTTGACCATTTGTGAATTCTACTATCAGTAGAGGATCGATACATCCCTTTCGCACGGTAGACGTGGGTTCTAAAAGCGCAATTTTGATGAGACATATTTTTGCTACATCAAATGATATATGTCTACATACATATATCTATCTATATAGATTCATGAGTAGTCAATTCTGACTGAGAATCAACGAACCGACTAAACGGCTAGAAATTGGAAGCTTGAAATTTTTTACGAGGTTGTGATACAAAGTACTAAAGGTACGACAAGTTCTATAATGTACTAAAACGTTAATGCTTTGTATTGGGCAAACTTGATGAAGTAGAATTCTGAAATATGGAATAATAGTCAATGATGGAGGGCAGGGTAGATGTAAAGAAATATTGTCAAACTGAAAAAATTGTGCATTTTGAGTACTAAACAGATAAATAGCAGTAAGTTCAGCCGGGCCGAACTTTGAATACCCTTCACCATTTAAATAAAATTGGAAATTAACAAAAAATAAATAAATAAATAAATAAATAAATAAATAAATAAAGAATCCGTAAAAAAATCTTTTAAAATCATCAAAATACCGAATATAGGGAGGTACAGATAATTATAGGTCATACGAAAACCTGGACCTGCATTGACAATTTTCTGCCATAAACTGTAGTACCCATTAGGAACTTCAAATATTAATTTTGAAACAATCCCGGTAGATAATATAGCGAAAATCATTAAAATATGCAATATAGGGAGATATCATTATACTGTAGTACCCACTACGAAGTATCATTACGAAACTTGAAAAATTTCCCTAAAATCATAAAATACCAAATATAGGGAGGTACAGTTATATAGGGCTATAGGAAGATCTGAACCTACATAAGCAATTTTCTGCAACGTGCAAATACGAAATTTTAAACAATTTCGTTAAATGATGTCGTTAAAATCCGCAAAATTCGGAATAAAGGGGGGTACAGTACAGGCTAATCGAAGACTTGAACAATTTTTCGTCACAGGCTACCCATTACGAACTATCAATACGAAATTTAAAACAATTCCTGTGAAAATTTTCGCTAAAATCATCAAAATACAGAATATAGGAAGACACAGTTATATGGGGGCTATACCTAAACGTGGACGTATATAGCCCATTTCTAGAACCAACAGTCCTGCAGGCGAAACACACATGTGAGTAAAATTTTATCAACCTACTTTAAATCGTTAGGATGCTAGAGTCATTTCCCCAGACGATCGAACGGACGGCCATCGTTAAATCGACATAGAATTGTATGCTGACCAAGAATATATATACTTTGTGGGGTCTAAAATGCATATTTCGACGTGTTTCAATCGATTGACGAACTTAATATACCCTTCATATTATGGTGGAGGGTATAAAAAGTCCTAACACGAATTGTTGAAAAGAATCTAAAATTTTAAGATGGAATTTTTACTGCCAAAGTAGCTAGCATGTAACATGCCAAACAAGTAAAAGATTTTCTTCAACCTCAGTTTGTCACAATATATTCGTATAGATATAGCTTTATCCTAAAATATTTATGAATTCCTGGCGATAAGGAAGGATTTCAACATTTGATATCATCTGGGACCCATAGTAAAATTTTATGACGAATAACTTTGTGGAATATTTTTCCATCCCGTTTTTTATTAAAAACCCCCAAAATTAAATTTTCTACGATAATTTCTCTTTGCAAGTGTAAAGGGGATTCCCCTTCCCCCTCTATTTATGTTATTTTGGGATCTAAACTTTCTAAACGCCGCTACACTTGCCTTCTATTTTTATCTTGAGTCTCATATTCTCTTTCTCTTTTTTCATTTTTATTGAAAAAAATGATTTTTGTCGCATAGTGTAATTTTTCAAAATTGTAATCTACCAAGTTTTTCGTTTAAGTATGTTTTGTGGTGCACATGATTTAAATATATACGGTCAAAATGGGATAATACAGCATAAGCAGCCACTATTTAATCCACTCTTGTAATGAATGATACATCTCCGATATTTCGAATTTCAGAATTTTGTTTTTCTTTTTTGTATTTTTTATTCATTGCATTTGTTTTGCTTGTTGCATATTGTCTTCGAAAGAAGTATGTGTCATTGTCTCAGTTACGCCCTTTTGTTTAATAGCCACAGGCATATTTTATCAACTTCACTTTAAAAGCTGAAGAAAAATATTCTTTTGTCGAAGCGCAAATTAATTTATTTAAATTGAAAACAATGAATACGTGATGCGTTTTTATAAATCTGCATAGTAGAATGTCCAGAAATAAGCGAGAATTTTTTGTGAAAGAGAGAAACATATAGAGGCCTGAATTCAAATTTTCTACGAATTTTTTCCATAAAAATCTACACATATACATATTTCATTAAAAAGGTATACATATTTATACTCTCAGCTGACATTCTTTAATCTCTACAATCAAAATTTATACTCTGGCGCTCAAAAATCATTCAAAGCACGAATAAAATATAAATGCATAACGGACCGGACCAACCAACCCAACAAAAGCAAATGTCATTCGGCATTTAACACTCATCATTAATTCCCAAGAAATTGGTGAAATGAGGCATGCAACACCAGAGTGTGGTGGGGCGAAATGAATCCATTGTCCCTCTTTTCTGGATACTACCACACGACATGATGGGATGCAAGTTCATGAACTCCACTATTCTGATTGTTGTAAATGGAAAGGGAATGGATTTCCGTTTTTGTCGTCACCACTCACACACAAACACACAATGGACTTGACACTTGGCATATATCGTGGCTCCTTCATTGGATTTTTGACACATATGGCATTTACAGCATGTTTCAAAATCTTGAAATGAGAAAATATTTGTTATTAATCTGAACTCCATGCGTTCAGGCAATCCATCCATCCATCTATCAACCCAGCTAGCCGGCAGGCCGGCCACTCAACCAACCAACCGACCAGCCAGCAAGCACATGTCATGAATGTGTTAATTGATATTGATAATGTAATTTATTTGTGTGGTTGTGTGTCTGTGGGCCAGACACATCAGATGTTTATCAAGATTTGATGACAATGATGGACATATTTTTAAAGTGCCAACAATTTGAATCCGGATACACAAGAATTAAACAAAACTGATTTTATGTTGTTTTTATAAGTTTAAAAAAATCTACCCATGTTATACATTTAATTAAATTACGTTTTTTTTTTTTTTTTCTAGGTTTAAAAGTTCTTCCCCTGTTAAATAATTTAAGGTAAGTAAAGCAGTAAAATATTAATTATTTTATAATCGAAACAAAATTTGGAGATTGGAGACAAATGAATGATATTTTCTCACCAGAATTTCCCTTACAATGGTTCGAAATTTTGAATAACCATAACAAGATTAACTTCAATCTGGAATAATAATATGAATAAGTATTAAAAAAACAAAAACAATACCACATTTCAAACATATATATTTAAAATGGGTTAATATAATAAAAGTGCCCATTTTATGGGGGCTATACTAAAATATGAATTTCTATAACCGATTCTCTATTCAATAGTATATACAAGATGGAAACCGTTACGAACTTGAAATATCAAATTTGAAAATATTCTGTTAGAAAATGTGAGGGCTATAGATTTTTTTTCTGCCAGAGAATAGTGTCAATTTAGAACTTTAAATACCAAACTAAATAAAAAAGAAAACAAGTAAGCAAAGGCTATAGTAGTGCGGTGCCGACCATGTGATACCCAACAACACTACAATATGTTAGAAGCCCCCTTATATCCAAATCCATTTTGGAATATTTAGTTTTTGTAATAATGTCAAAGAGGTTACCCTTAGTTTTTTAGCCCGGAGAATTTGGCAAAAGTTGTGAAAGTTGTGGTCCATTTTACAGCTAAATGTAATCCAATGGTAATCCAAAATGCTAGACTTCTTCCCTGTTCTTAACTCTCTTCCGATGCGAAATTCCGTGTCGATTAGTTTCAATTGTGGCCTATAGAGCGACTACAAAATTAGAAAAAAATATATTTTTTAATCCATTTGCACATCTAAATTTACATCTTAAAAACAATAGGCTTTCATTCTGACCCTACCCCCATGCCAAATTTCGTGAGGATTGGACGATAATTACGACATGCATATAATACCCTCAAAACGTGTGTTGAAGGGTGCAAACATTTAGAAAAAAATGTACAATTCAAAATTGAAGGTCAAATTGAAAAAATCTCATGCGCTAAAAAATATGACAAGAATTGGAAAAAATGGAACAAAAACAAGTAAGCAAAGGCTACAGTCGAGCGGGGCCGACCGTTGAATACCCTACAACACTATAATAAACCATACAGTTGATATAGGCGAGATACTCGAAAGAATTCCACAAAATTTTGTGACAAATAATAAAAGAAAACCATTAATTTTCGAGTAATAGCAACTTAAACTAATTTGCTCATTTCCAATTTATTGGTAGATGTTGCACGTAAATGGTCTTCCTAGATCTGGAACCAATATTTCCCAAAGAAATGAGAAACAGACATTTGACTATATTCTTCATCGAAATCAGCGTTAACGAAATAGTCAGAAGTGCGTCTTTCCTGTATTTGTGAATTCTCCAAAAAGTCACTGGAATCGACATTTTCGTATTTTGTCTACAAAATTTGGCAAACTATTTCAAACATTGAATATTTTTGGATGGCCATCCAAAACTGCTTGGCTTTTGTAATGTCCGGTAACTCCCATTCAAATGTGCGTGAGGATCGGGCGACAATTTTGCAGTTTTTTGGTCCATTTCAACCCCTAAATATATGGCGATCATCTCCAAAAAGGGTAGGCTTCTATTCTGACCCTCATCTTATCTCCATGCTAAATTTCGTAAGGATCGGGCCATAAATGCGATCTGCATATGATATCCTGATATCCTAACTACTTAGTTTTGTTAGCTGTAGAAATATTACCAAATGTTTAATTCAAAATGAAAATATGCCAAAAATATGACAAAATTGAAAAAATATGAGAAAATTTTACAAAATCAATATTTTCATCTTTAGAGAGATATTTTTATGAGATTTTTTTAGACGCTTTTTCTTTCCTGCCAAGAGCCCATTCTAAACTAATGAGAACTTTCAAAATCAGTTCAGCCGTTCTCGACATATAAGAGATTTTCCAAGCTTATCTTCTTTGATAAACATATATATCGCACATATTTTGCTATATATCCGTTTTGTTGGATGTTAACATCAATGTAAAGATCAGAAGTAACCTTGTCATGGCATTGTGATTTCGCCGGGATTTAAAATATTCGCGGTTTAATGAAAAATTTTGAATTTTTTCAACACAAAATTATCTATTTTACCCGCTAAATGTTATCCGATGACCACCCAAATTGGTAGGCTTCTTCCCCTCCCTAAACTCTAGCTACATGCGAAATTCCGCGTCGATTTGTCTATAATTGTGACCTGTATAGCTACTGCAAAATCCTACATTTTTTCAGTATTTGGTCCATTTCAACCCCTAAACAGTTGGCGATCATCTCCAAAAGAAATAGGGTTCTATTCTGACCCCAGTCCCACCTCCATTCTAAATTTCGTGAAGATCGGGCCATAATTGCGACCTGTAGAGTGATTACAAATTAACATGGACAGACGGACGGACAGACATACATAGCTAGATCGACTCAGCTCGGCGAGCTAGGAAGATCCATATATACTTTCCTATGTGGGAAACCAATATTTCGAGGTGTTACATAATTTTTGGGCCAATCAAACTTATAATACCCCCAACACATAGTGTTGTAGGGTATAAATATTCACTTTTTATTGGTATATTTTTCCGTGATTTTCTTATATTTTCTGCTTTTCTGGCAAAAGACCATTCCAAATCGGCCCAGCGGTTCTTGATTTATAAGCAGAATAAATAAGATCAATTCTTTTACATATATATTGTACCTATTTTGCTATATATATCCGATTTCTTGGCTATCAGCATCACTGTAATGGTCAGAAGTGATCTATTAACGAATTTGTGCTTTGGCTGGTGTTGAAAATATTCGCGGTTTTGTGGAAATTTCCCTATTTTCTTACATAAAAGTTGGGGTCTATTTTACCCGCTAATTATTGTCCGATGGCCGTCCAAATTGTTAGGTTTCTGCCCACACCTAAACTCTAACTCCATATAAATTTTCGCGTCGATTGGTTCATAATTGTGACCTATAGAGCAACTGCAAAATCAGGATATTTTTCTGTTTTTGGTCCATCGTGTCATCATCTCCAAAAACAATAGGGTTCTATTCTGACCGTAATCCCACCTCCAATTTCAATTTCGTGAGGATCGGTTCATAATTGCGATCTGTAGCTTGATTACAATTTAACATGGACAGACGGACAGACGGACAGACGGACAGACGGACGGACGGACATACGTTGCTAGATCGACTCTAGATCATCTCGGCGAGATAGGAAGATCCATATATACTTTCCTATGTGGGAAACCAATATTTCGAGGTGTTATATAATTTTTGGCCCAACCAAACCATACCACCTTCAACATTTGGCTTTAGAGCAGTTATAGTTTGGTTACAGAGGGAACTAATATATGGGAGCCATATCCAATTCTGAATCGATGTTCACAAAATTTGATGCAAACATTTTAATATTTTATACCAAATAAAATGCATGAGAAGGATTATATTAAAAAATATATCCACAAAATAGAAACGTGTGTTCGGAAATTCACTCAGTTTGAGCTGGTATTAGCCATTCTTTGCACAATAAACCTAAAATCGGATTAAGGCTATATTAATAGTGGATGTCGATAAAATTTAGCAAAGGTATTTCCGAGCTCTATAAGATATCTGGTACCAAATATAATTGTTGTCGAATGGATATTACGAATTTGAGGGACTTAAACACATATCGGATGAAACATATATATGGGAGCTATAGCTATATTTAAAGCGATTTTCTCCAAATTCTATGTACCTGCTTCTAGACTGAATTCGGTCGGATGGCCTCTTGGTACACAATTAACCCGAACTCGGTTGAAGATGTATATGGGAGCTATATCCAAATCTGAACCGATCTTGATAAAATTTGGCAGAGATATTTCCGAGCTATATAAGATATCTTGTACCAAATATCATTGTTGTCGAATGCATATTACGAATGTGAGCGACTTAAACACCATATCGGATGAAACATATATATGGTAGCTATAGCTATATCTGAACCAACTTTCACAAAATTTTATGTATCTGCTTCTAGACTAAATTCGGTCGGATGTACCAAAATTCAGGACAGATATTGGCCATTTGGTGCACAATTAACCCAAAATCGGTTGAGGATATATGGGATTTATATCTAAATCTAATCCGATTATCGTCAATTTCAATAGAATTCCAAACAAAGTGAGTTAGAAAATATTAAACAAATTTTCGAAAATACGATTTATTATTTTTCAATTCTGATTCTGAGGCTATTTCTCACCACGCCTCTGAGACTAATTCTTCATTATATTTTTTTGTTATATTTTGATTTTCAAGTTATTTCTTCGAAACTTTTTATAGATTCTCACAGATCATTTTGACTAATGAATGCCATTAAAAAACAGATTATACTAATCCCATTATCATTATCATATCAATATATATTTCGGTTTATTTTAGTATAAACAAAACATTTGCATAATTGCCAGCAATTAGTAATTAATAAATTTTTGATATTATGAAAGATTAAACAAATTTTATCTTGATTATACATTTTATGATGTCTTAACCCCCCCATCCCCTTCCAATTTTTATTGAAATAACTTTAATAATAAATTTCATATTTTAAGCCCTTCATTGACCTCTGTCGGCAATAAAACTGTCATAACGTAACCTTTGATGTTTATCATTGCATTGAATACGCTTCGGCGGACGAAAATCAAAAATGCATAAATTTCCATCAGCCGAAATTATTGTTGACAGCCCAAATGTAAATAATTGATAAAAAAAAACCTCTGCAACGCACTGCGACGCAACAGTAGCCAATTATCATTAAAAGTGATTATGTTCGGACGACATGTCAGTGATAAATGTGATGTCGTTATTTGGGAAAATGAATTGTTCAATTCGATGAATTTGAATTTTCTGACAAAACCTTGTTGGGAAAGTTTGGAATAGATTTAGGAAACCTTTAGAAAATAGTTTGTTTTATTGTGAATATTGTACTTTTCTAGAATAAATAAAATTTTCTTTTTAAAAAAGCTGAATATTTCGAACGAATTTGG